GGGGAGGGAAATGGGATGCGGGGAGGAGGCGGAAATTTTTTTTCAATAAAAAATTATATTAAAAAAATAAGGAAATTAGAAAGATAAAAAAAAAAAAAGAAATCTCACATTGGATGAACTAAGAATGAAGAAACAAGCCCTAGTTTCTGTCCCAACCCCGCTCCCTGTCCAGCTCTTTCACACACTCCCCGCCCAGGTGCAGACTCTGCTAACCAGTTGCTGGGAGATTCCAAACAGCCCCCGAAGCCTCCTGCTTCTGACCTCTGCCTCCAAGCCATTTCCCTCCCTGTACAGAGACCAGTGTGGTCTATACAATCAGTTCCAGGCTAGCCAGGGCTTCGCAGAGACAGGCAAAGAAACCCAACAGTAAGAACTGTAACAACAGACATCCCAAAGGAAGACAGCCATGTGGGTTTCACTGACTGTCTCATTGTCCTGAGACTGTGTCCTTCTCCTGTCCAGAACACCGTTAAATGTTAGAGTTAGGGGAATAAGGGAATGAGCATTTATCCCCAAAGTCACAGATCTGCAAGATTTAAAGGTTTAGATAAAACTAAGATAAACATACAATTCCAGTAGAAAAACTTATTTATGTGGATGAATAATAAATGGAGGGGGTCTCAATAGGCAGGAAAACTACTAACTTCTTTCTCCACTGGAAAGGGGGCACATTTGTTGGGACCCTGGGACCCTTCCTGAGATGGCCTCGCCTCTCTCCATCTCCCAGAGATACCGCCTAGGAAGCTGTTTAAAAGGGAGGGGGTCCCTTATTTACTAAGGTTTTGAACTTCTTTTGAAGTTCTGACTTATTTGCAAAAGCAAGAAAATGAAAGCAGAGAAGAGGGGGAAAGAGGCAAAGGATTTGAGGCCAGGCAGGGAAAACATTTATAATTGGAGCAGAGAATAACTGGATATAGATGATGCAGTTCTGAAACCTATGTACAAAGACTTGAGGGCACCTGTGTGCATGGAGGCCGCAACGGCACGTGTTGCTCTCAGGGGCCGCCCTCCTCATTTTTCTTAACAGAACAACCTTTATTCATTCTCTGAAAATTCCATACACGTAAATGGTGTATCTTGATCCTACCTACTACTCCCCCAGGTCCCTCGCTTCATGCCTGCCCCCACCGTCCTCTCTTTTCCTTCCTTCCTTCCTTCCTTCCTTCCTTCCTTCCTTCCTTCCTTCCTTCCTTCTTTCCTTCCTTCCTTCCTTCCTTCCTTCCTCCCTTCCTCCCTCCTTCCCTCACTCCCTCTTTCTTTCTTTCTTTCTTTCTTTCTTTCTTTCTTTCTTTCTTTCTTCATTCCTTTCTTTTTACTTTCTAACTTTTTGTAACCCACTGGATTCAGTGCTGCCACAGGGATCCTGGCTGATGCAGCTGGATTGATCCTGTGCAGCTCCCACAGCTGCTGTGAGTTCAACACGCCACAGCCTTTCCCGGCACGCCTCCCATTCCCCAGCTCTTACATCGGTCCTCTCTTCCACCATAGCCTCTGAGCTTTGTGGTGGGGGAGAAGGCCCCTTGGTCTTTTGGCACAGTCTCTCACTGGGACCTGGAGATGGATAACTAGGCCAGTGAGTCACAGGGACCTGTCTCTCTCCAGCTCACCAGAGCCGGGCTGACAAGCATGCCCTACGCCCGGCTTCTTTACATTCTGGGATCCAACTCAGAAGCTAGTGCACGGGCGACAAGCAGTGAGTTATTCTTCAAGCCCCGAATGGGCTTATTAACACCGTGGTACAACATGAATGAAATCTAGCATGAGACAGCTCAGAATGGCGACTTTAGGCCAGGGAATAAAGAAAGGCCTGAAGACAGTAGCCCCTCCTTCACCTTCAAGGATGTGTTCCAACCCTCAGGGGAATCCTGAAACCAAGGACGGACGCTGCCAAAATTCAGGAAATGTCACAAGCCGGAGTGTGTGTGTGTGTAAAATTAACACAAATTATGCATAACAAGAAATTATCAGTGATAGCCAATAGTAAAATCGATCCGTTATGACAACATTCTGCCATAACAGTATTTTAGACTTATGAATTTATGGAAATACTTCTAGCATTTTCCATTAATACTTTCAGATTGCCTTGACCTCGAGTCAATGTAAGTGGAAATTGAAAATGAGTGGGAATTGAAGCCACAGGCACAGGGGTTACTTATTCCAGAAGAGTTGAAAATGAGAAACTCTGATCCGTCAAGCTCCTAACAAACCGACGGCTACAGACTTACCGTTTTTCCCCCTCAGGCCTCCGCTTGCCTCCACTGTCAGAGTAGACGCCTCATGCCTCCCCGAATAGAGCTGCAAGTCTGGGTAGAAGTAGGCGGGCTCTTCTAGAATCTGCACGGGGCTGCTGGGGCTGTAGCAGATGCGGGGAGGAGCTGAGAGAGAGAGAATGATGTGTGTGTTAGTGCCAACCACACGCCCCTCCTTCCTGCGTGACTCACATCCCCCACATGGCAACTGGCAGCGAGTCTGCCTGTTTCATTCATAAAATTCCAAAGGTACTTCCCACAACTGTCACAAACCCGGCCACTCACCAGGCTGACCCACGGGTCTCATGACCTGCTGAGTGAAGGCACGAAACTGTCACCCAGGAGCAGTGCCCACCGTCCTCTGTGGGACTGCAGAGACATGGGCTTTGAACTGGCCAAGGTAGAGGACAGAAAGGAGGGAGTGGAGCATTCCAGAAGAGGAAAGGTGAGAAGAACAGCTGTCTCTCCAAAAATACATGGTAGAAGAGATGGCCACTCTGCCAGGCCATGTGTCAGCAGGAGAATGTCCCAGGCTGAGACACAGTGTGCCCTGGTTCCTTATGAAGTCTCAGTCTCACGTTCCAGTAGACCCAGGGGCTTAGACCTGGGCCTCAGCCAAGCAATGACCATTCAGCTCCTTTATGTGTTATACTCGCGCGCGCGAGCGCGCGCGCACACACACACACACACACACACACACACACAGGCGGGCACGCACACACGCACGCGCACATGTTCAGTTAAACTCAATGCTGTACTTGGACCCACAGCTACCAAACCTGAGATTCCACTTCAGGGATCCTGACAACACACTTGCCAGTTGTGAGACTCTGGCAGATCAGGCCACTTTCCCTTCCTGCTCTGATACCTCTGTGTGGACCCCAAAATCAAAGCTCTGCGATTTTCCCCCATCTTCCTCTGGGAAATTCATGTTATTATTTCTTATTAAAATCCCTTCCTGCTTGCCTAAAAGAAAATTCCATTTTGGAAAGAAAATTTCAGCCATGGTTTTAAACCAGGCATCTGAAATTTCTCCTAAGTTTTGCACAAAACCAGAGCTACTAGTGACTCATGACATCAAGGGCCAAAACCAGAGGACCTGAGTTTGATCCCCAGAATCTACATCCTCTGACACACATACACACACACACACACACACACACCCAAGGATGCTGCGTCCAGCTGTGACTACATGTCTGCAGTCACTCAAAGATGCCTTTCACATACACTTGGGCTCATACATTCACTAACATTCTCACAGTTGCCAGGATTCTGGGTGCAGACGAAAGGCAGGAGGGCCCACAGATTAGAGAACAGGCCCTGCAGATGAACAGCTAGAGAAAATGGGGTTGCCCCAGCACTGGCACCCCCCTAGAAACCAGAGTCAACATAGCATCAGGGAAAGTCAGGCAGTAAGTGTCTACAAGGTCTTGGGGTTCCGTCACATGTATCCCTGTCCTTCTTGTCCATTTCAGTTCACTGTCTTGCACAGGGGACGTCGCTAGTAAAAAATCCATTCTGTTTGCTTAAGCAGACTGCCAGACCAAGAATATTGCAGCGAGAACCTGGAAGCAGATGCACAGCCTGAGCAGAATGCTGTTTTCTTTGCTGGCACTTCCTTACGGGGAGCAGGAGCTGCAAGAAGCCACAAAAGCCTTCCAGACGCCACTACCACCCAGAAGGCCCCTGTAGCCTGGCTCAGACCCCGGGACCGACATCCCTGCCAGAGTAGGGAGAGCAAGGGCCTCTCATGACTGCTGGATCAGCAGTGTGTGTACAACGTGGCTGTGTGGAAGGGCATCAGAAGGACAAGGCCCCTGGTCTAAGGGGGTGGCTTAGAGTTACCTACCTTCTTGTACCCCAGACACTCTGCTGAGGGTTTTGGAGACAGGGACAAAGCACTGGAAAGGGACACCGGGTTTCTGGGGAGGGGGGCTAGGGAGGCCCATGAAGCTCCCTGTGCTCCCGACTGGAAGAAAGGCAGCAAAGGCTGATGCTCTGAAGTTCTGTGGCGTTTAATGCTCCCCACACCAACAAGACCCATTTCACCAAGAGCCATTCCTTTGCCTAACAAATCCCACAAGCCACAGAATCCTGCTGCCACACCCTTCCAGAGCTCAGGTGCTTCTGTATAGCTTCGGTGGCACTGGAAATATATGTCCCTCCACAGTTCTAGACTGTCCTTTTCTTTGTACCTGTCTTCCAGGCCTTCTGGTGATGCGACCTGACCAAGACTTTTTCTTTCACTAACAGTAGAGATGATAACGAATCTCAGTGTTGAAAAAAAATAAATTAGGGTTAAAATGAAACCATCTTCTTAAGTGGGGAAAGAGGCAGGGCAGGGGACTACAAGCAGCATCTCAACTCCGTTCCATGATGGACTCCTCAGAGGTAGATCCAGCATCTATCACCATGCCAACTGAGCAGACTCAGATGGCTCCTTGAGCACCAGTCACGCTACTGTCACCTAACACAGACATACACAGACACATACACATATAGATACACAGACACACACATACAGACACACAGACAGACACAAACACATACAGATACACACACACAGACACACACAGATACACACACAGATACAGACACATACAGACACACACACAGACACACACATACAGATACACACATACAGACACACGGAAGAGGGGGAGAGTGATGTGGATGACCTTCTCTATATGTGTTGCTTTTATTGGTTGATGAATAAAACTCTTTTGGCCAATGGCTTAGCAGAGTAAAGCCAGGCAGGAAATCTGAACAGATATAGAGAGAGAGTAGGCAGAGTCAAAGAGATGCCATATAGCTGCCAAAGGAGAAAGACGCCAGAATCTTGCCGGTAAGCCACAGCCTAGTGGCATTACACAGATTAATAGAAGTGGGTTAATTTAAGATATAAAAGCTGGTTAGGAATATGCCTAAGTTGTTGGCCAAACAATATTGTAATTAATATAGTTTCTGTGTGATTATCTGGGTCTGGGCGGCCAGGAAACATAAGTGCAGGAGGGAACTCCTGTCTGCGGAAGGGAACACTAAGACTTCCCTGTCCTTATTAAGTTCCTATCCATGTATTACTACTTTTGTATATAACCTTCTGGTTGATCACTCTGAGGTCAGACTTTGTTTGGTTTCCAGGGCTGTCAATCATTAGGCTCCTCCTCTGGCTGTCCCTCAGCATCCATGTATCCTGTGAACATGTCCCCTTCATCCTCCCAGTACTACCCCTGACTTCACACACTCCCTTCAACTGCTTTAAATTCTCAGTAAACTTTTACGTAAGTTTACCTCCTCTGGAGTGCCTCCCCCCTGCACACCCCACTCCCCTCCCCTGTGCACACCTCCATCAGCCACCACAGCGGTCTAGACTTGGAGGACACAAAACTTACCACTTAACTCCACAGCCCAGGACTGGGAAATAGAGTTGTTTAAGGTAGGTGCTGCTATCGCCCTTGTGAGATGGCCAAGACTTGTGGATTTCTGTCAGTAGCACACAGTTAGGCATGTTCTCTGACCTCACAGAGAGTAAGCAGGGTTCTCTGGGACACTCTCAGCACCATACAGCTGAAATAAAGTACTACCGATCCCTCTAAGAGTAGCCTTGGAGTGTCCCAGATAATTCCTTGCACCCTCAGCTCCCTAAAATGCAGGGGTGCTTTCTGTCCCCTCTGCAGCTAATACTGGTGCTCTAGAGATGGCAGGCCACAGGCCCATTCCTCAAAGACGCCACTGACAGCAAGACAACTCCAGATGTCACCAACATGTCAAACTTCCTGCTACATACCATCAAAACTTCCCATGCACAACTGCTTCACCGCCAGCTCATCTCGCCTCCTCTAACTTTACGAGAGAGTTTTCAACCACCACAACCAACTCTGCAGCTTCTACCTTACTGTCTGCAGGGCTAAGGAATTTGCCGAGTGTGCCAAACGCTCACAGCTGAACCCAACAACCTGGCACCTGGTTCAGGCTTTCCTGAGGCATGGAATACCCCACTCAAGGAGATGCTGCCTGGACACACGGGCTGAAAGGGAACCGGAAAGCCCAAGAACACAGCTGGAAAACAAGGGATGAGCCAACTCATACGATAGGCACCTGTGACAAGATGAGACTTGTAAAGGCAACCTTCTCATCTTACACACCTGACACAACACACACCTGCAAACAATACACACCTGAGCATAACACACCTGCAAACAATACATACCTGCACACAACTCACACATGCACACAACACACATGCTCACAACACATGTGTTCACAACATACACCTGCAAACAATACACACCTGCGCACAACACACACACATGTACACAATACACATGCTCACAACACACCTGCTCACAACACACACCTGAAAACAATACATATCTCCGCATAACACACACATGCTCACAACACGCCTGCTCACAACATAGACCCTTGCACAACACACCTGAAAACAATACACACCTTGCACAACACACTTATACACAACCTGTGTACAACATAGACCTGCACACAATATATCTGCTCACAACACTCATGTGCACAATACACACCTGACTACAACATACCTGCTCAAAACATGTATCTGTGCACAAACACATACCTGTGAACAACACACCTGTGCATAACATACAACCTGCTCACAATACATACTTTCCTAAGAGGAAATGTACAAGGAATAGGGTTTTCCCACTCTTTGTCTGTCGCGTCCCACCTCGTCCCGCAAGGAAGATGTGACCACTGGAGCTCTTCTCACTGCAGTTTATTCCAGGACCTTTTACAATTGCATCTCTCTCTCTTCCCCTCTCTCTCTCTTCCCCTCTCTCCTCTGTCTCTCCTCGCTCCTTCCTCTCTCTCCTCTCTCTTCGGGCAAACCTCTCCCAGCCCTTAAGTAAGCATGGGCTGCCAATCCCGGATTGCCAGGTGGGCACTGCCCATAGACCCACGCATATGCAAGCAGCTGATGATCATTGCGTGATCAGGCATAAGTCAGACTTTAGCCATCTCAGGAGTTGATTATACATCTCCATCAGGTGTGATTCCATGCAGCTCGCTACATTTGTCCCTAAAAAATCATGATTGAAAACACAGGCTTTAGTGTAGGAAGTAATGAATGCAGCTTTCAACATTCTCAG